AAATAAAAAAAAAAAAAAAAAAAAAAAAAAAAAGATTTTTGCAAGACATGTTTGTAGCAACCACTTTTAAGTAGTTTATTATGAAAACTTAATTTTTAATAACATTAATTATTTGTATAATGATATTTGCTATTTCAATTTTAAAATATATTCCGAACCCTTCACTTGTTTTTCAATCTTTTTAGCTTTTCTTAACTTACAATATACACATTTCAAAATTAAAATGGTTAATTAATTTATTTATTAAAATTTCAAATTCATATATTTTTTTTATATTAAATCAAATAATTTTAAAATAAAATTAAAAAAATAAGTTATTTAATTATTATTATTATTATGATAATCTTGCAACGGATTAACAAAAATTTATGAATTGAACGATCGGCCAACCAAAAGCTACATTTGGTTTTGCAGTTTCATTATGTGATTAAATGTTGAGTGTTTGGCTGTGACGAACAAGAAGCGGGCTGCTCTCTCTGTCATTGTTTTTTCTCGCGCCTTCATCTTCTTCAACTCATCGCTCTGATCCCTTTGTTTGCTCTTGTTCTTCAAGGTTTTTGATTCTACACTTTCATAAACTTCAACCCTTTTCATTATTTTCGATCATCTCAAGAGGGTTCGCTTTGGATCTTCCAGAAATCACTTGATTCTGTTTGCTTTGTGATTGATTTTATATATTGATTTTGAGTTCTTCAAGCATGTGATACGATTCAGTTGTTCTCTGTTTTATTTGTGTTCTTTGATTGCGACACTCAAACCTCGGAGTGATTAAAAATTTAGTGCGTTGAATTTTAAATTCATTCGTGGAAAAGGGCAAGTTCATCCGTACCCTTTTATTATTTTAACCAAATTCAAACAATCAGAGTTGAAAAGTTGAATGTGGTTTTGGATTGTTCTTGCCCTCGAGAGTATTAGGTTCTAATTTTACTGATTGGGGTTTAGTTTTATAATCAACAGGCTCAGTAGGTATTAGCATATCAAGAGGAAGTTTACAATGGCAGAAGATGATGTGTATACAAAAGATGGTACCATTGATATTCATAAGAATCCTGCTAATAAGAAGAAGACTGGAAAATGGAAGGCTTGTCGCTTTATTCTTGGTATGTTTACTCTGTTCTTAACGTTTGATTTTGATTGTTCTTTGCTGAAATTTGTAACGATGATGTTTGTGAAGGGAATGAATGCTGTGAAAGATTGGCATATTATGGGATGAGTACCAATCTAGTGAACTATCTTCAAATACGTCTTAACATGGACAATGTAGCTGCTTCAAATAGTGTTACTAGTTGGTCAGGAACCTGCTACCTTACACCATTGATTGGAGCTTTCTTGGCTGATGCTTACTTGGGAAGATATTGGACCATTGCTAGTTTCTCAATCTTCTATGTCTTTGTAAGTTTTTCTTGTCGATCGGGCGAAAAGAGAACGAGTTGTTCTTCAAATCACATAAGAACTTGAACGCATTGTAGTGATACCATGTTTATGATATATGGTTTTGCAGGGCATGACATTGTTGACGATGGCTGCTTCAGTCCCTGGATTGAAGCCATCTTGTGACGATACTGTTTGCCATCCAACTGGAGGTCAAACTGCTGTTACCTTCATAGCACTTTACTTGATCGCCCTCGGGACCGGGGGAATCAAGCCATGTGTGTCGTCGTTTGGGGCCGATCAATTCGACGAAAATGATGAAGACGAAAGGAAGAAGAAAAGCTCCTTCTTCAATTGGTTTTACTTTTCAATCAACGTTGGTGCAATGATTGCCTCCTCAGTTCTGGTATGGATACAAATGAATGTAGGGTGGGGGTGGGGCTTTGGAGTTCCTGCAGTAGCCATGGCCATTGCTGTAGTGTTTTTCTTCTCCGGTAGCTCGTTGTACCGTCTGCAAAAGCCAGCAGGAAGTCCTCTCACAAGAATCTTGCAAGTTATAGTTGCAGCTTGTCGGAAACAAGGAGTACAAGTTCCAGAGGATAAGTCTCTCCTTTACGAGACTGCCGATGATGTCGAGTCGAAAATCGAAGGAAGTCGCAAGCTCGAGCACACGAACGAGTTCAAGTAAGTATATTATTGGGATCAGAATCGAAGGAAGTCGAAAATCATGGAGAGATTCTTATATTATCCAAATTGGTTACATTTTTTCAGGTTCCTAGATAAGGCTTGTGTATTGAGGGAAAGTGATGGAATGAAGGGGCAAGGGAATGCATGGATACTTTGTACAGTGACACAAGTTGAGGAGCTGAAGAGCATTATCAGGTTGTTGCCTGTGTGGGCGTGTGGAATAGTATTTTCAGCAGTGTATAGCCAAATGAGCACCATGTTTGTTCTACAAGGTAATATAATGGACCAGCACATTGGGGCAAGTTTCAAAATTCCATCGGCCTCGCTTTCGATCTTCGATACCCTCAGCGTTCTCTTTTGGGCTCCCGTATACGACAGACTCATCGTCCCAATGGCGAAGAAGTTCACGAACAATGAGCGTGGCTTCACACAGCTACAACGGATGGGAATAGGACTTGTCATATCTGTTTTCTCCATGGTTGCAGCAGGTGTGTTGGAAGTTTTCAGGCTGGAGTATGTGAGGAAGAACAAGCTATACGATGCGGAGTACATTCCGATGTCGATATTCTGGCAAGTTCCACAGTATTTTTTGATCGGATGTGCAGAAGTGTTCACTTTTATAGGACAGTTAGAGTTTTTCTATGACCAAGCACCGGACGCAATGAGAAGCATGATGGCTGCCCTGTCGCTCACAACGGTTGGATTGGGAAACTACTTAAGCACATTGCTCGTTACAATCGTGACGACCGTGACAACGAGACACGGGAAGCTCGGGTGGATTCCAAATAACTTAAACAAGGGACATCTCGACTATTTCTTCTGGCTGTTGGCCATTCTCAGCGTCCTCAACTTCTTTGCCTATCTCTTTGTGGCCAAGTGCTATCGCTACAAGAAGGTAACAGGTCATTTGCGCTGAAAAAACCAACTTCAATGCTCAGTTCTTAGCTTTTTAATTACATTTACGTTGGATTTGGTTTGCTTTGAATCACTTGTTGGGATTGTTTCTTTTGTTCTTCATTAGTTGCTTTGTTGACTTTGAGGCCTAAATTGTTGATGGGGTTTTTGTTTTCAACGGTGTTAAATGTGTGGTTTGATTAATGAATATGTTTGGTTTAGGTGAAGAATCATTGCTAATCTTTAGAAAAATGGCTGAGTGGCTCATGTCTCATGTCTCAACCTTAAACAGGGCTGTCTGTTCAAATTGTTCCCACTTATTTAGCATTTTGAGGATGCCAGCCCCAAGGGTTTCCATGATTGTGTCCCAAAATGTCTCACTAAAATCCACCCTCTTTTTTGGACTAATCAGCTCCATGTTCACACTTTCTTTTTAGATTAATTAAGCGTCGATCCGTGTTTCGGCCGATTAGTCTAAGTATTTATTCGGCTTATTTCTTTCTTTTTTTTGTTTTAGGTCAATGTTGGAATTTGAATTTCCAACTTTTTCTCTTTGTAAAAATCATATCCTACTCGATCAAGAATTTTGCTACCTTCCAACTGTTATATAGTTACGAGCTGCCGTTCATCAGGATTTCAGTAGCCGGCTCCTCTGTGATCAAATCATGAACTTCCTTAAGGTTGAGACAAGCCTGCCACGTAAATTTACAATTCTGGGTAGAAAGCATTTGACTTCATTTATTTCAAGAAATTGATGTCACATCAGTGATGTTGATATTAGCAAACAAAAGAAACAAGAATCACTGTGTTTCATGATTTGTTTTTCTTTCTTTTGGGCATTGCCTGTCTCATCGGAAGTTGGTAGCTTAGAACAAACAATGAAATCACAGTAAGAATGAAAATTTTAAGCGAATTAAGAGCGTTCTTCGTTCTTCGTTCTTAAATAAATAATTCTCAAGAAACCCATTAAAGAAAACGCTTGACCAAAGAACAGATATCAACTTTAAACCAGAAAAACAAGTTTTTTGAATTGAATCCTCCCCCCACCCCAACCAATTCCAGTTTAATACAGTCGAAGAACACTTCTAGCAATGGAGTGTGCTTGATTGGGTTTCACCTTCCCGGCGGAAGAGCCTCTCCGGCTGTCCTTCATCGGCGTCATGTAGAATCGGAGAAGACCATTGTCGACATTTGTCAGAGAATGTCGAGCACTGTGGTTCCTCACCAACACTGGCTGCTGCTGCTGCTGCTCCTGTTCTTTCTTCTTCTTCCCATTCCCATTACAATCTGCATTGCTTTTCCTTGAACTGCTACTGAAAGATCCACCCACCATACTTGCACTCCTCCAACTCACACTACTGTTACTCCTAAACATTTTGGGGTTGAAACCTCCTTTCACATCCATACTCTGTTCGCCTCGCAACTCCGGCCACGACCCTGAAAACGACCTCTCCACACCATTGCGTCTGCTCACGTCTTCCTCATCATCTTTGTTTCCTCCACGCCGGTTAATCAATCCCCATATGCTCCAACCCTTCCCCCACCGGCGGGACTTTTTTGACTCCTCTTTCCGATTCCCTGTCGCAATCACTGACGCTGTGTCGTTAAATCCCATATCGAAGGTCCCGGAGCAGTCGTCTCGCACTGAATTGGCGTTCGAGTCTCTATCTGGGATGGATAGTTTTGGGCCATGGCTGATATCTGTAGTTGCAGGGGAAACTTTGGCGTTTGAAACGGATTTCATCTCATCAATCTCTGCTACCACCGCCGCGGCGGCCTTTCTGATGGAGTTGGACCGATCGAGGCTCTTCCGCCGACGGGAAGAGGAGTCTAAATAGTAATCCCGGGTCTGCGATGTCCCCCCGGGGATATTCTCTTCTTCATTGGTTGAACTCAGGGAGTCTTCGACGGGAATTTGAGTATCGGAACGGAAGACACTGATAGGAGCATCTTCAACGACGGAAAGCATGGTAGGCATTTTCGGGAACGTTCTGCTTATCAAATACCCGTCCCATGAAGCCCTAGGTTCGTCGAAAGAATAGCGGGGATCGTCGAAGGACATTCGCCCGGCGTCGAGAGAGAATCTCGGATCAATATCGCAGGATCGTCGGCCGAAGCCGTAATCGGCAATTTCCGACTGAGTTTCTCTGAAATGGCGTCCGATTGGCTTCTCCACCGGCAATGTCGTAGATCCAGCGCCGCTTCTCTGCTTCTTCCCCTTCTGCTTATCCCTCCATTTCTGCAGCTTCTTGCTGAAGACCGAAGCCGCCGACAAGAAGCTCCCGGCAATCTCCTTCAAATCCCTTCCGGAGGGCTTCTTCGTGTGCGAATCAAGATCTATATGATCCTTCATGGTTTTGAAATCCTCTTGAAGTTGCACCGATTCTCGCTCGAATTCAACCTGAAGTTGTTCTTCTTCGACGATTTCCTGAACTCCGTTCTCGATCACAACATCCACCACAACGGGCACTTCAGAAACCCTAATTTCCCCTTCGCTCTTCGGTTCCGGTTCAAGACAGGAAGAAGAACTCGGCTCGTCCTCCAAATTCTTACTCTCGGAAGCAACTTCAAAACCAGGAACAGGAAGAGGTCTAGAAGAAGAAGAAGCAGAGGCGTCCTGGGAGAAGAAAGAGCAGAGAGTGTTACGAAGACGAACGTCGCAAGATTTCCTGTGCGGCTCAGAAACGGCAGAAAAGGGTTCGTTCTTAGAAGCAGAGAAGGATTTAGTCCGACGAAGCTCAGGGAAGAAAGAAGAGGGACGAGTAGTAGGAGGACCAGGGCGGAAAAGGGACTTAAGAGCGGAGGCAGCAGTGGAAGGGGGTTTCCGGGAAGAGGAGGAAGAGGAAGAAGACGAGTCGATCAGAGAGAGACGCTCGCAGAGACATAATTGGCAGAAAGGGGCGAAATGCTCTTGAGGGTGTCGTGGACAGGGGACGGCGACAGCGGAGGAAGGAGGAGGAGGAGGTGGTGGTTGTGCGGCGGCGGTGGAGGGATTCATAACACGGAGAAGGAGAAGCTATGGAAGAATGGGAAATGGAGAGAATGCCATGATAGGATATTGGGAAGAAATTTAGAGAGAAGGAATAAGGAAAGTGAATTATTCATTATTATTCTTAAGCTTTTCCCTTTTTCTCTCTCTTCTTCTCTCTTCTGTTTCAACGGACACCGGCAGAGAGAGAAGAGAGAGAGATTTTACAGAAGCACTTGGGATGCCCCCACACATGTTGTGTTGCCTCCTCTTTTTTTAAATATAAATTTACCATCTCACTCGGATCCTAGACGAGGTGGACTTGGTGCCAACAAAGACATTGGGCTCAAACGAGAGCCGACACTATCGAGGACGCTATGCCCTGAAGAGAGGTGGACACCAAGCAGTGTATCATTGAGGATGTTAGCCCCTGAAGAAGAGTAGAGTATGCCAGCGAGGACGCTAGGCTCCAAAAGGGGTAGGCACTGAAGTGTGTGTTATCGAGGACGCTGGGTGTGGAAACCTTTCTCTAGCAGACGCGTTTTAAAGACTTGAGGGAAAGCACGTCCAAAGAGGATAATATCTGCTAGCGGTGGTCCTGGACTGTTTGAAAAGGTAAATAAATACATAGGTGTATGAAGCATGAAGGAGGTGGGAATGATTAGAAAATTAGTAAAATTGTGAGGACTAAAAAGCAAATTAAAAAATAAAATTGATTGTGAGTAATATAATTGTTGTAATATCTCTTTCTTTTTTTCACATTTCGCTTTCTTTCTTTATTTATTTATTATTATTATTATTATTATTATTATTTTCCTTTTCACTTTTTTACTTTTTACTGTTTGCGTGATGTGTTGTGTTGGGTTTCTTTTTGTTTTTTCAATCTCTTTTCTCTTTACCCAATCAAACAAAACATTTTTGGTATTAAAAAAATAAAAATAAATTTCTTTTTATACACGCTTCATTTCACATTCTCGATTCTTCTACCTACCTTATCCGCTAAAAAAATTATTTAACGTAGCTCCGTTGTGAATTTTGTTTAAATTAAAAGGGTGTAATTTATTTGTTTTTATAATTAAATATTGGGATAAAGTTTTTTTTTTTTTTTTTTTTTTTTTTTTTTT